AAGGAGGAAGATTGGCAACAGATATTAGCTCAGGGAAAATTTTCCTTAGCAAAAAGAGGGAGATTGGCAACAGATGTTAGCTCGGGGCAAATCTTCCTCAGCAAAGAAAAGGAAAAAAAAAACCCAGAAAACCCTAAAGACTTCACAAAAGAACTGTTAGAACCAAAAAGCAAATTCAGCAAAATTTCAGGATACAAAACCAACATTTAAAAAATCAGTTGCATTTCTATACTTAGAACAAGTTATCTAAACAGAAATTAAGAAAACAATCTCATTTACAAGAGCATCACGAAGAACCAAATACTTAGGAATAAACTTAACTGAGGAAGTGAGAGACTTGTACACTGAAAACTACAAAACACTGATGAACGAAATTAAAGCAGACACAAATAGATGGAAAGACATCCCATGTCCATGAATTGGAAGAATGAATATTGTTAATACATGCATACTACCAAAGCAATCTACAGATTCAATGCAATCCCTATCAAAATCCCAATGGCATTTTTCACAGAAACTTAAAAAATAATCCTAAAATTCATGTGGAACCACAAAAGACCCTGAATAGCCAAAGCAATCTTGAGAAAGAACAAATCACAATTCCTGATTTGAAAATACATTACAAAGCTACAGAAATTAAAACATTATAAAAGATATACAGTCAATAAACACATGAAAAGATGCTCAACATCACTAATCATTAGTGCAACGATTTGAAATGCAAATCAAAACTACAATCAGGGGGCCACCCCATGGCCAAGTGGTTAAGTTCGCACACTCCACTCCAGCGGCCCACACTTTCGCCAGTTCGGATCCTGGGCATGGACCAAGCACCACTCATCAAGCCATGCTGAGGCAGCACCCCACATGCCACAACTAGAAGGACCCACAACTAAAATATACAACTATGTACTGGGGGCCTTTGGGGAGAAGAAGGGAAAATAAAATCTTTTAAAAAAAAACCCTACAATCAGATACCACCTCACACCTGTTAAGATGGCTACTATGAAAAAAACAGAGAATAGCAAGTGTTGGTAAGGATGTGGACAAATCAGAACCTTGTGTACTGTTGGTGAGAGTGTAAAATGGTATAGGTGCTGTGGAAAACAAAATGGCAGTTCCTCAAAAAATTAAAAATATGATTACCATATGGTCCAGCAACTCCACTTTTGGGTAAATACTCAAAAGAATTGAAAGCAAGGTCTTGAAGATATATTTGTACACCCATGTTCACAGCAGCACTATTCACAATAACTAAAATGTGGAAACAACCCAAGTGATCATCGATGGATGAATGGAAAAGCAAATGAGGTATATACATACAATAGAATATTATTCAACCTTTAAAAGAAGGAAATTCTGACATAGGGTACAACATGGATGAACCTTGAGGTCACTATGTTGAGTAAAATAAGCCAGTCACAGAAAGACAAATACTGATGACTCCACTTATATGAGGTACCTAGAGTAGTCAAATTCATAGAGACAGAAAGTAGAATGGTGGTTGCCAGGGCCTGAGGGAGGAGGAAATGGAGAATTATTACTTGATGGATGTAGAGTTTCAGTTTTACAAGATGAAAACAGTTATGGAGATGGATGGTGTTCGCACAATGTTATCAATTTATTTAATACCACTGCACTATACACTTAAAAAGGGTTAAGATGGTAATTTTATGTTCTGTGTATTTTACCACAATAAAAAAATTGGAAAAAAACAGTATGGTACTGGCATAAAGACAGTCATAGACCAATGGAACAGACTAGAGAGCCCAGAAATAAACCCACCTGTACACAGTCAACTGATCAACAAGGGGGCCAAGGGTACATAGTGAGGGAAAGAGAGTCTTTCCACAAATGGTGCTGGGAAAACCGGATATTCACATGTAACAGGAATGAAATTGGATCCCTTTTGTACACTATACACAAAAATCAACTCAAAATGGATTAAAGACCTAAACATAAGACCTGAAACTGTAAAACTCCTCAAAGAAAACATAGAGGAAAGCTTCTTGACATTAGCCTTGGCAACGATTTCTTAGATTTGACACCAAAAGCAATGGGCAACAAAACCAAAAGTATATTTAGGGCTTTTTGACATAACTTCCAGGAAAAAATCAATAATAGTGATACCCAGCACTTACTATGTGCTAAACTCTAATCTAAGTATCATTTAATCCTCCCAACAATCCTATGAGGTAGGTACTATTATCACCCTTTTTTCACACATAAAGGAAACTGAGGCAGAGAGTGGTTGAATAATTTGCCCACGGTCACACAGCTAATAACTGCAGTTGCTGGAATGCTAACCCAGCAGTCTGGCTCAGAGTCTGTGTGCTTAACAACATAATACCATGCTAGTAAGAACCTTCTTTTTGGCAAGAAAAGGGATTTTAAAAACTAAGTGCATTCTACCTCCACTCAGGGTAAGGCTAAGCAGTCATCAGAGACTCCTTCCCAAACAAGCCATTTTGTGGGAAGAATGCGCACACCAGAATCTGATTCTTAGAAAAAACTAAGAATCTAGTGACAAAACAAACCGCATCCATGTTCAGGAAAAATGCTTTCTAAACTTGGCTAGCAGGAATGTAGAATGTGAATTTAACCAACGGCAAAAGATACTGAAGCACATTTGAAACTAAATACTAAATTCATCAGGGGAAAAATTAGTGTACGATCATTAGAATAAGATGATGTAATGAAAACCTGTATCCTGAGATAAGCAGACATTAACACTGCATATCTTAAAGTTTAATTCAATTCAATTGTTTTTGAGTACCTACAGTATACACATTATATAACGAACGTTCTAATACCTAATAGATTCTCTAGAAATGATATGCAGCTGAATCTGTGTTTCTTACCATGAATAAAATGACTCTCAGGGAAGAAACATACAGGTAGCAATGGCCTAGAAAATTTGCTAATTCTATCCCTCACTCCCTGAAAGGATTAAAGTATACATAAACTTCTGTAGTAAGTATTAGTTTAGAGGAAATCTATGATTAAGAAAATTCAAGGGGCCAGTCCGGTGGCGCAGCGGTTAAGTTCGCACATTCCACTTCTTGGCGGCCCAGGGTTCACCAATTCGGATCCCAGGTGTGGACGTGACACCGTTTGGCACGCCATGCTGTGGTAGGTGTCCCACGTATAAAGTAGAGGAAGATGGGCACAGATGTTAGCTCAGGGCCAGTCTTCCTCAGCAAAAAGGGGAGGATTGGCAGTAGTTAGCTCAGGACTAATCTTCCTCAAAAAAAAAAGAAAAAAGAAAATTCAAGAGATCTGCCCTTGTAAGTAAATAGACAACAATGTTTCAAGAAAGAGTTAAGCATCATGCATTCCAGTTCTGCTTTGATATAGAAATGCTTTGTGATCTGTGTTGCCACTTAGCTTCAGGGCCAAGTCATCTCCAAAATGGTTCTAATAATATGTGCTTAACTTATTTCACAAAAGATTATAAGTTAATGAGCATTTATAAAATATCTAGAGATATGTTAATAATACTTTGCAGTCTCATAATACCTCTTATCCAAGAAACTCAAGACTTATAAACTATTACGCTGACAACATATACTCTATTTTTCTTGTTTTATTCATGGGAAACAGGGGTGAAAGATTAAAATTTTGACCAAGTCACAACAAAATCAGCAAGAAGTCTCTGAATATGAGCTGCGCTTCTTAACATATCACACATTGTTCTAAATATGTGCCAACATTGTCTGAATTACAGTTTCATATGAATTATCTCAAAATATTTTTGGTCAAAAATCCAAGCGTTCTGATCCATCAAATATTCCATATCTTTAGGGGCAATAATGTTGGATGTTTTTCTAAGTATTCAATATTCACAACATTGAAAAATCTCATTCAGAAAAACTTATTGTTTCAAAACCATAATCAGTTAACCAATCAATTTGTACCATTATAAGTGATAGAGACCTGACTCTGTCTGACATGTCCATTTTATTATAATAATTTAAATAATTAACATTTATAAAATGTCTGTGCCCTTCAGACTGTTTTATAGTCATTAATTACTGGAACTTCTCAACATTCATTTGAGACTGTTCAACATTATTATTTTCGTCTGCTCAATAGGGAAATGAAGCACAACCAGACGGGATAATTTCCCACGGGCATCAAGGCACGAGAATGAAGAGTCTGCTCACCCATGACAGCTAATCTGCTATCCAGAGAACCATAATTATTGGTTTTCCAGGTAGTGATGAAAACACCCCTCTCCTTCATATATTTTGCTCTCCACTTATCAATATGAAACTTGCTTCTCAAAGTAATTCATAATGTCTTAAACACATAGAGTTAAACTAAAAGGCAGTAAACAATATTTTTGAGGTAGGGACATGAACAACTTGGAGACTCAGAAGTTCTTTAAATGGACATTCTGCTCCTCCACTAAACCAAGAAATCTCAATACAAATGATTTTCTGTCAATGTCGCATGTTCATTAATTTTAGTTAAATTGATGAGCAAAGTACTACAGAACTTCTATTTCAGTTTTCAATTTAAAAAATCCACTGAAGAACTCCCACCACAAAAGGATCACTATATATTGAGAGTATGTGATTTTAATAAGAAAGAAAACACTCAATAAAGCATGAATAATAGAGATAGTCCATAAGCATTTCCAGGACAAAAGCAGTAGACATTTCTCATTTGAATTATTAATCCTTTGTTATATACTGGGGAAACAAGTAGAATCTATTCCAGAGGTTAAAAAGATGTACATTTACTCATATTTAATCTTGAGCTTGGACACTATGATTTAGTATTGCTCCACCTGGCACCCTTTTTATATACAAAGATATCCTTGGGAAGCTTTCCACCTGCAGACTGGACACTATTAACAATCACCCAATTATGAAAAACAACAATTAGGGTACGAGTAACATTTTATGACTGATTGGCAAAGTTAAGACTGAAATGACCTACTGAATCCTATAAAAGGCCAATGGAGCTGACTTCTACGGGGCGGTGTGCTTTGGCTTTGCTCCTTTCTGAGAAAGGGTCGCTCAGCTCTAGTGTTGCCATGTCTTTCCGACTTTCTAGCGGATCCAGGTGGATCTGCTCGCAAGCTGGCTCTGGTCGTCTGTCTGGTGGAGGAACAGGCTTCGGGGCTGGCAATACATGCGGTGGGTTGGGAGCAGGAGGCAGCTTTCCTGGTGCTCTTGGCAGTGCTTCCTCTGTAGGAGCTTTCAGTAGTAGTGGTGGAGGGTTGGGAAGCGGCGTCTGTGCTGGTTTTCTTGGAAATGAACATGGCCTCCTCTCTGGAAATGGAAAGGTGACCATGCAGAACCTCAATGACCGCCTGGCATCCTACCTGGACCACGTGCGAGCTCTGGAGGAAGTAAACGCAGACCTGGAGCAGAAAATCAACGGCTGGCATGAGGAATACGGGCCTGGCTCTCGCCGGGAACTCGCTCACGACCACAGTAGATACTTGTCAGTCGTTGAAGATCTTAAAAGGCAGGTAAGAAATACGGATTCGTGTACTGTTGCCACAGACTTTGCATGTGCATAACCTAAAAAAGACAAAATACAAATTGGGCTTACCAAATTTACATGATAGAGAATTGGCTCATTCTGTTTCCCAGTGCTTAGGACAGTGACTGTCAATAAAACTTGGTAGAATTAATTAATTAATGAAAGAGAATTAGTTTCAAAACAGACATAATCGCTTTGTTGATCTTATTCTCAGCTCATACTTTTTGATGAAGAGTGGTGAAAGTACCCATAATTGAAAAAGCTTACACTTTGGCTCTTAAGCTCTGGACATTTATTATCTGAAGAAAATCCAGATTCCTTTACTACAGAAAAATAAGATACCAAAATAGATGTTTGACAGGTTAAGAAAATAAGACTCAAATCTGGAGCCTCCCTTGACTTTTGATATTTAACATTTTGCATAATCTACCCTATTTAGATTATTTCTGTGACCGCCTGTAACGCCAGCGTTGTTCTACAAAATGACAATGCCAGACTGACCACTGATGACTTCAGGCTGAAGTAGGTGAAAATAATTAATTATAGTAAAGGTAAAAATACCACAATTGGAGTCAACAACACATCTTTTGCTTTAAAAACCAACACGTTTTCATAAAGTCAGACTTGGTCACTGAAGAAATTAAATTAAATATGCCCTTATAAAAAGAGCTATCATAATTTTTTTTTTTTTTTGCTAAGGAAGATTTGCCCTGAGCTAACACATGTTGCCAGTCTTCCTCTATTTTGTATGTGAGCCACTGCCACAACATGGCCACTGACAAGTGATGTAGGTCTGCACCAGGAACTGAACCCAGGTCCCCAAAGCAGAGTGTGCAGAATTTAACCAGTAGGCCACTGAGGCTGGTTTAAACAGTACTTTTACTCAAGTGTTAAGCACATTGGATGACAAAAATCAATTCTGAAGAAACAACTCCCCCAAAATAAAATTCATAAACCAATAGGTTTTCCAAAGCATTTCATCACTTTGCCATCGCAGGAAGGTTCAGAAGTGTGTACAGAGCATCATATCTTTCAGTGTATGAAATGTCTGAAAAAGTTATGCTTTGCACCTGCCTACGATTACAATTCTCAAGCATCTTAATCACCTTTCAGGTATGAAAATGAGCTTGCTCTGCACCAGAGCGTTGAGGCCGACATCAACAGTCTTCACAGAGTTATGGATGAGCTGACCCTTTGTACAACCGACCTGGAGATACAGTGTGAGGCACTCAGTGACGAACTTACGTACCTCAAAAAAAGTCACGAGGAGGTAAGAAACCCTGCAGGGTGGCTTCCTGTGGTATCCGGTGCCCTTCCTCAAGGCCACTGTTCATTTCACAGCAGAGTGTGAATATCAACCAAAATTCTACGTTGAGTATTGAAACTGGTCCCTTTTCCAGGAAATGAAAGTCCTGCAGTGTGCAGCTGGGGGGAACGTGAATGTGGAGATGAACGCAGCCCCAGGAGTGGACCTCACCGTTCTGTTGAACCACATGAGGGCCGGGTACGAGGACTTGGCTGAGCAGAACCGCAGGGACGCTGAGGCCTGGTTTAATGAGAAGGTACGTTTGTGGAAATCACACACCAAGGGCTTGTTCAGTGGACCGCGGAGCTGGTGGCTAACCCTTCTGACAATTATGCTGCAGAGCACTTCGCTGCAACAGCAGATTTATGACGATGCAGGAGCAGCCACGGCAGCCAGAAATGAGCTGACAGAACTGAAACGCAGTCTGCAAACCCTGGAAATAGAACTTCAGTCCCTCATGGCCAAGGTTTGTAGGAGTCGCCATTGATTTGACTGTGTGTGTGTATAAGTAAATACATACATACAGCTAACTATATATATATCTAAGTATATGTAACTAATTATATATAACTAAAACATAAAATATATTAAATACGTGTAAACATATTAAATATGTATCAAGAATTTTGTCCATAAACATTACTTCTGACTCACCAATCCCAAAACTTGAAAAAAATTTTTTTCAGTGTAGAGAAAATGGTTTTTTTAAGCCTTGCTGATGCTGGTTTTCAACTGACATGACTTAGACCTCATACAAATATGTCTTTCCACCTGGAGAATGTTTAAAATAGGAGCATGTCATCTGTCTTTTACGCATGCAAGCTTTGCTTTGTTCTTTCAGAAACATTCCTATGAAGGCTCCTTGGCCGAGACCGAGGGGAGTTACTGCCTTCAGCTCCAGCAAATCCAGGATCAGGTTGGCATGATGGAGGGACAGCTGCAACAGACTCGAACAGAGACAGAAGGCCAGAAGCTGCAGTACGAACAGCTTCTAGACATCAAAATATTTTTAGAAAAAGAAATTGAAACTTATTGCAAATTGATAGATGGAGAAGAAAGGTAAATATTAACTTGAGAAAAAAATTAATCTCACATCAACTAGGTTTTCTCGATATCCATCAATACGAATATTGTACCCCAGAATTTCCTGTTCTAAAGATCATACCTATACATGGCCTCAGGAATTTATTATTGCACCCAACTGAAATGAAAACAGGCAGCAAATTCCAATTTCTAAGTATGCAAAGTATTTGTATTTATAATAATATATAGAATACTTAAATATAGAATGTTGAACAACTCCAATACTCCAAGCTAGGGGGAAAATTGTTCTGTGATTTAGTGTTGAGGCACATTTCTAATAACAACACACTCTATTTTATTATTACGTCACTAGTCACCGTGCATGCACCCTGTGTTAAGTGGGTTGTTACGTTTTCATTTGAAAGACGAGCAATAAAGATACAGGAAGATTTAATTGGAGAGGTCACCATAGTTTGTGAGCCAAGAGCAGTAGCCCTGGGTGCGAATCACACCACTGGGTGAATTTGAGCGCGTTGTTTAACTTCTGTCGACCCCAGTTTCCTTACTGGTAAATTGCAATAACACCAAAACCATACTCACAACACTCCCAACCATCGTGCATCACTATGTAGCTGAAATGCTTGTGACGGTAGCTTGCATACAAAAGGTACTCAGTAATCAGTGGCTATTACTAAATGCTGTCTGTGGTCCCATCATGAGTCAGTAACGCGTTATGCATCACCCAAGGCCAGTGTCAGCCCTCTACAGTTTATTCTCATGAGAACACAACAGTGATTGCTCCCTCCTTCAAACTGCTTATTACATCATTCATTTTTCACTTCTCTTATAGCACCTTTCATGCCACGTTGTAGAAAACTTTTACATGCATATACTTTATTTTATTTTAAACATGTAAACTGCTGTATCTTTGCTCTATATTTTCTACAGCACCTAGCCCAGCGCCTTCTGCATGGTAGGCTCTCCAAACACACACATTGGCCAGGTGATTCAGAAGTCAGAATGAGAACTTGGGGTCTCCATACTGCTAGATGAAAGAGATATCTGGTCACAAGGGAATTTCTGATCATAAACATCCATTTAATCTCTTCTTTCACTATACTGAAGTCATGAAAAGCTTACTAATGTCTCTTAAACATAAGAGGAATGTGAATCTTAAGGAAACTAGCACTCCAAAAATTTTATTCTTAAATCATAGTTATTTATGAGCTCTCTAATGAAAGAAATAAATGCAATAATTTACTCTTCTCTTCACAGAAAAAGTAAATCTACATGTTACAAAACGAAAGGACGTGGGCCCATAAATTCTGAAAATCAAATCAAAGGTATAGAAAGTTTTTACTTGGTGTAACTCTTTCTAACTCCAGTAATTGTATTAAGTAGGTCACTTATTTGTAAACTAAATGAAATTGTTTCTAAGTTTAGTTCTAGTGAATGAAGGGGTAAGGGGTGACTACGACAAGTGTTTTATATTCTTGTCAATCAGATATGGTCAAATTAGGAAATAATTGAAATAAGGACTCAATCATCCAATATCTTTCTTACTTGAAACCTACTTATTTACTTAGAACTTACTTATTTTCCCAGTTTCAATGCTTTGATTAAAAAAAAGCTGCTTTATTTTAAACCACAAAAACAGGGCAAGTTGGTGTTTAAAAGAAGACAACACACCTTGCGCCCAGGCGCTACTTGCCTGATACTTATGTTGTTTAATCCATGTTTTATTTACGCTTTCAAACACCCAGTTTTCTAAAAACAGTGGTGAATATAAGATAGTCCTGGGCCTTGCTAAGCATAGACTTCAAACACAGTATTGGATCTCAATTTACCGCAAACTTGCAAACACCATTTTTAAAAAGAATATCTGTCACAACTAAATACCTTTCAATCTATTAAGAATGCATACTAAACTTTCATTTACTTTATTTTAGACTCAAAAGAAGAGACTGTTGTCAAAACAGTGGTTGAGGAACTAGATCAACTCAGCAAGGTCCTTTCACTGAGGGTCCACTCATTTGAAGAAAAATCCTCTAAAATAAGCAACATTACAGTGGAGCAGCGAGTACCTTCTAAAGCCCCAAAATGAGAAAGAAAGGTTTTTTTTAAAAGCCTGCCTTTGCAAAATCCCCTTGGCCAGAAAACCCAAGGAAATCATTCATTTCTATTCTTAAAGGGTTAGAATTCGTTTTCCTTCCCTTCTTGTTCTCAAGGTCTTTGCATGTAATCTTTCTCAGGAGTAGAAAAAATCTTGCTCTGTCCCTAGTTTTTATTTTAGGGCCTTTTTTTTGCCATTTCATTAAAAATTTTTCTATTGCAAGCTATTTTTGATAAGTCTGGTGCTTTTGAATTTCCACAATTGATCTCAATGTGACGATACTAAGGATATGCTAATAGAATAAAGCGCTTCGCTTCACAGTCACATTTAACCAATTCACGACACGATAAATTGGAAAGATCACTAGTCCTAATCTTTGGTCCCAGATCTGTCCCTTATTAACCATGCAAACGACTAGATCTCTTTGAGTTTGGGCTTCTGTGGATATAAAAGGAGATTACACCCGCTGATCATTAGGATTTGTTCACCCTCATAATGGGTAGCCTGCATGCGTGATCAGCTAAGGCTAGTTTGTTGAATTTGAATCTGGATAGCTGCTTTTCCATTTTGAAGTACATGCATTTCTCGGCCCCTACAATGGAGACAACCGAGCAAATGTAGAACTGCACTACTCAAGCCTGGAGAGGTTCTCAACCTTGCTCATATCCTCCTATACGCAAGATTCTGCTTGACATCCTTCCTAAATCACTTTGGAAAGTGCAGCAGGGGCTGGAAAGCAGCAGAGTTCTAGGCTAAAGAGGTTCCTTTCATTTGGAGTGGAGTGAGGCAGGGAGCTCTGCGGTAACCTAGATTTCCAACTTGCATGGCAGGGCATCACTATAGAGTTTTAACTGGCTGGTATATAGGCAATGTGGAATCCAAAGTGCCCATAGCTCTGAACTGCACCATCTCAGGGAGCTGGGCCCCCGAGGTTGCATCTCCAAGTTTCAAAGATGGTCTTGATTGCTTCCTCCTCCCACATAAGGCAATTGATCTTAGGCCAGAGCCAGTTTTTTGAGATGTAGATACAGCTGAAGGTTAATGTTTCCAGGGTCTTCTTGTTGTAAATGGCCCCAACCATGGTGACAGAGGCCATAATTTCGATGGTGTAGAGTTGGAGTTAGTTGGGTGAGAAGTACGTTCAACTGCAGGACCATGATTAGAGTATCCTACATTTATTGAGTGTGCTTTATCTCGCTTTACATGAATTAACCAATTTAATCTTCATAAAGGCTTATAAAGGTAGGTGTTTTTATTATCTTTATTTTACATATGAAGAAACAAATATTCAAAGAGACTAAGCAATTTCCCCAGAGTTGCACAGCATGTTTGTAGTGGGGCTTGGATTCAAATCCAGATCTCCCTCTCCACCATGGTGACCCGAGTCCCATTGACCAGGACAAAATCAGCACAGGAATTTCACCTAAACACACTCTATTTTCATACTAAGATTTCACTGCCACCCAAGAGGGACCATAATCAGGCAGATCCTTGTTTGTGTAACCAGCAACAACACATAATAAGAAATATGGTTTTTAGTTAGTATGAAGATTTAGTCTTTTCCTCTCTATTTATTACCCATCTCCAGCTCCTCTCCAGCACCAACTTTCTCTGCCCCCATATTAAGTCTTGGTCACCAGATGCCCCCCTCTCCAAGGCTAAGTTTATCTCATTATACTTCTTACCATCTCTTTCTTACTAGGAGGGTCATCCAGAGGCTCTATCTTGTAGCAACCGGAAGACTAGAGCGGCAACCTCAGCTCTCTCAAGACGCTTGGCTAGTCCACCATCTTACACCACCATGTTGGACCCTCTTTCTCTTGCGACCACCAGTACTAGTTATTCCTTGTTCTTAACAGAGTTCTTATTCTTTCCAAGAACAATCAGACTAACTTCCATTTTTCTGTATCTACTCTTTCCTACTTAGACAGGTAAATAGACTTACCTATCTACATTATCTACATAAGACAGATTTATATTTAATGCAAGCATAAACTATGATTCCAAAATATATGTTTTTAGCTAACAACTGTACTTCTTGAAATGAGGGCTGGAAAGTTTAAGTACTCATCCTCATTTCTAAGAAGTCAGTATTAGCAAAAAATAAAAAAGTAAATGACTATCATCAGTAGTTGACAAGTTCCAAAAACTACTATTGGGCATCCTAAATTGTTAATTACCAAGGCTTGTCCAGTAGCCTTAAGACGCCTTGGCTAAATACAACATGCCCTAGACATTTCACTTTCAGGCCCTTGGAAACAAATATTTTGTAGAATAGGCTGAGAAAGTAGTGCCCTATAAAGTCAGGACCATTAAGAATAGAGGACATCGTTGGAGTTCATGGTAAAACATGGACTGAGGAAAAGGCAGGATCTCGCTCTTCAGTCCTACGAGGGCAAATAAAAGTCTGTGTAGGAAAGACACAAACAGTATTGCGCTATATTAGAACTGCCTGAGGACATGTGGCAGGCCCTATTTTGTGTCTGATCCAGATATTTTACATATGCCCTGACCCCTGGGACTGATGCAAGAGTCACATTCTTGAACGTGACCACTTTGAGGCTACATACAATCATGGTGCAGACAGAGGGCATCCACTTTCTTTCTAAAAACATCACTATACTGCACATGAGGGTTCTTCTCCCTCTCCACCCCACTACAATGCCATTTAAGGAATGAAAAAGGTATAAAACCACAACAATAAAAAGAATAAGGAAAGAGACATAGGTAGATAAAAAAAATTGACAATTTTTAGAAGAAAGTAAGTAGAGAAAGCCTATCTGCTTCAGAATAGTAAAAGAAGCCTCAACAAAAAAATACATGTTCAAGGAACTAACTGACCCCACAGAATCCAGGAGAGATTCAGGACTTAGAAGATACCAATTATGATGGAGGACTTGGCTGAGAGGCAAAGCAGAGGGCAGAGTGATTGACAGAGGGGAATTTACGATAACACTAATGACACATAAGCTCAGGGCCCCTCCTTAGCACAGGAGAGGCCCTAACATTGTGTTCATATAGCCATTTTGGTAAAATTTGCAAAACTAAGATAATTTTACCACAATGAATTAAGCCTGCTATCTCTTTCCACTCCAGTTCCCCCTCCATCATCAACTTCCCTCACGTCTGGTGGCATGAAATATCCACAAGCATCTTGAGGGCCCTTCTAAGACAGGATGATCATACAATTTATTATCCAAATGCAACATCTGAGAGGGAGGAAAAGATGCTATTAATCAGGCATAATCGTAGACGTGAACTGATCTACTGTAGACACATGGACATAGAGTCACCACAAGTCAACAGAAAGCTGAGTTGAGCATAGTGGGATATATTTACAAAGCTCTTATCATTTCCTTGGGCGGCTTCTAGGAATATTCCCACTGCCCACTGTGCTGACTCCTACATGAATGCATCTCAACTGCATCATGCTAAGTCAAAGAAGTCAGATTCAAGGGGTACATACTGTTTGATTCCATTTATACGAGATTCTGGAATAGGCAAAACTATAGATATAGAAAACTGATCAGTGTTTGCCTGGAACCGGACCTGTGGTAGAGATACAAGGAAATTTGGGGGGCGGGGGGTAACAGAACTGTTCTATATCTTGATGGTGCTGGGGGTTACATGACTGTCAATACTCATAGAATTGTAGGCTAAAAAAGGATGAATTTTACTATAGGTATGTTAAACCTCAATAAACCTGACTAAAAGGAACTGACAAAAAAACTTAAGGAATCTATCCTAAAGAAAAATGTGAACATGTTCAGCGTTATTAATAATGCAAAAAGATGGAAACAATCTGAAGGCCGCTTAATAAGATAGTGGTTAAACAATATTAGGTTTGATATTAGGTTTGACCCTGAGTAATAGTAACAAAATAATAGGACTTTACAGAGATAGAAGTTTATTTCTTTCACACATAAAAATGCAGAAGTAGGCTATTCAGAGCTAAGATGCTGGCTTAGCACCAGGGCATCATCAGGGACCCAGGTTTTTTTCAGCTTTCCGCTCTGCCATACCCAGAGTGTAGCCCTGGCTCCTGGTCCAAGATGAAGCTCCAACCATCAGATCCAGCCATCACACCCAACTCAGCAGGGTAGAGGGAAGGGAGAAGATGGGACAAAGACCGTGGCAGCTTCCTCTTAGGTAAAGTTTCTAGAACATGCCGCATATACCTCTGCTAACATCACGTTGGTTAGCTTAATCACACAGCCACAGTTAGCTGCAAAGAATGCTGGAGAAAATAGTCTTTATCGTGGGCAACTATTGCCCAGTTAAAAACTGGGGGTCAGCCAACAGTTTCTGCCACATTAGGCACCTATTCGTGCTCTAAGGCACGTTAGGTAAGGAGAACGAATCTGGAACAGTAAACTGCAGTTACCTGAGAGAGTAGGGAGGACAGAAGAGAGAAGGTGGAAAAGGACTTTAACATTTTACTCTACACTCTTGGATATTACTAGATTTGTTTACATCAAGAATGGTTTCATGCAGAGAGTAAAATCCTAGTTGCCAGGGACCGGGGGTGGAGGGTGGAGAGGGAATGGGGATAAGTTGGTAAAAGGGTAAAAACTTCAGTTATGAGATGAATAAGTTCTGAGGATCTAACGTGTAGCATGGTGACTAAAGTTAATTATACTGAATTGCATACTTGAAATTTGCTAAGAGAGTAGATCTTACGAGTTCTCACACACACACACACACACACACAAAGGTAACTGTGAGGTGATGGACGTGTTAATTAACTTGATTGTGAGAATCATTTCACAATATATACAAATGCCAAATTATCACTTTGTACACTTTAAGTATGTTACATTTTTATTTGTCAGTTATACCTCAATAAAGCTGGAAAGAATAAATAAATAAAAACTGAGGGAAAAAAGAACAATAGAATGCAGCAAGATTGGCCAAAATCACTCCACAAATATCAACCGCATTACTTTACATAGTAAAATATATTTAGAAAGTGTGATTTCTAAAAGATATATTAAACAACAATATTAGATAAGTATCTGGAAATAGTTTTTTAAAAAGATGTGAAAGCACATTAGGGAAAACTCTATAACCTTTTACTGAAGAACGTTAAAGATGACCTAAATAAATGGAAAGAATATTCCTTTTTTTATATAGATATACACAATGTCATAGAGATATCAATTTTCCTCAAATAGCTTTACAGATTTAAGGCAAATCCTGGGATCTTACTGTAATTGAG